TAACAATTGTTGTTGAGCATCTTCTAATTGTGATAACAGAGTTAAACGTCATTGTTGGCTCCCACTGTGCTTCAGTTCTGTACCATGTGATGCGCTGTGTGGTTTGGCTTTACATAATCGGTTCGAGGTCAGTTAGTACAACCAGAAGTAATACATAAGGCGCACTGAGTTATAAAGCGCACTCTCGATTTTGAGGAAATCAAAGGATATTAAGTGCGCCTTATAGTACGGAAAATACGGTACTGTAGATCTGTGTGTGTGTGACAAAATCATGGCAGTCCCTATTTTTTTTCTGACGTCATCTGGAATTGGCCTCAGCTTTCCTGGGCCAATATGTTGATTAATTCACCCAGTCAGAACAGGAAACCGGAAAGTCAAAAGTAAATTTTTAAGACTAAACACCGTGTGCTTTTGGAAACCCCTTGATGTAAAATTATGTTTTCCTTTTCTGAGGCTGTATGATTTCCACTTCATTCATTTATTAAGATTATAGAGGAAAACACACACTGGGTGGTTTATATATACACTATATTACCAAAAGTATTGGCTCACCTGCCTTGACTCATACTATGAACTGAAGTGCCATCCCATTCCTAACCCAGAGTTCAATATGATGTCGGTCCACCTTTTGCAGCTATTACAGCTTCAACTCTTCTGGGAAGACTGTCCACAAGGTTGAGGAGAGTGTTTATAGGAATTTTTGACCATTCTTCCAAAAGCGCATTGGTGAGGTCACACACTGATGTTGGTCGAGAAGGCCTGGCTCTCAGTCTCCGCTCTAATTCATCCCAAAGGTGTTCTATCGGGTTCAGGTCAGGACTCTGTGCAGGCCAGTCAAGTTCATCCACACCAGACTCTGTCATCCATGTCTTTATGGACCTTGCTTTGTGCACTGGTGCACAGTCATGTTGGAAGAGGAAGGGGCCCGCTCCAAACTGTTCCCACAAGGTTGGGAGCATGGAATTGTCCAAAATTGAACTGTCCAAAATGTTTTCCATGAAGCTCTCTGCGTACTGTACATGGGCTAATCTGAAGGTCACATGAAGTTTGTAGCTCTGTAGCAATTGACTGTGCAGCAAGTCGGCGACTTGCTTGATTTTATACACCTGTGGCCAGGCCAAGGGATTAGGACACCTGATTCTGATCATTTGAATGGGTGAGCGAATACTTTTGGTAATATAGTGTATGATGGGGATGACTCTACATACAAATGGGAGATTGACCGCCTGGAGACCTGGTGTAGACTGAACAACTTAGAGCTCAATGCCCTGAAAACACAGGAGATAGATAGTGGACTTCAGGACGAACCCGCCCACATTACCCCTGGGTGATTCCCCTGTTCATCATCACCACTCAGGACCTTAAATGGGAGCTAAACATCAGCACCCTCATCAAAAAAGCACAACAGAGGATGTACTTCCTGAGGCAGTAATTGGCTACAAACCTTCTCTACAGTATCTGTACACCACCAGAACCCTAAATGTGAGCAAAAAAGATTGCGCCTGACTCCTCTCACTCCAGTCACAAACTCTTTAAGGTGCGCTCCCTCTGGCAGAAGGGTTGCGGTCCTCTTAAACCAAAAGCTCTCACCGCAAAAACAGCTTTTTTTTTTTCCCCCATCTGCCTTTGGCCCTATCCACAAACGGAAAGACTCTCACTGACCGTCCCCATCCACCCACACACACAGACCTCCTTCCGTCAGCCAGAACCAATTAGATAATTTGAGAATGGGTCATCCAAAATAACAATGACTTAAAATATGCTGCCATGGCAACAAAGGAGTAAATAAGAAGTCCATTAAGGTTATGAATGGGTGTGGCCTGTCTCCAGACCTAAAGACCTACAGAAACTATGCTAAGGAAAGCACACGCAAACATACTGATAAACATCTAATAAAATGTATTGTAAGTGACTATAGTCTTTTGAAAACATTTTAAACACAAATTACATTCAAATGGCTAATAGTGTAAGAGTATTGTTTTCAAAATAAATAAAACTATGCACATAAAATATGCCTTTTTGAGATTTCATAATCAACTTATAATTGCCAGTACTTACATGAGGTGAGTTGAGTCTGATGTCCAGTCAGGCTGGTATTTGGCTCCCATATTTAGTGCCTTTTCTCTGAGCTCCCCTCTGAATGGGTTTTGGAAGCCACTCAGTACAAACACTACACCCTCCATGATCCGGTTGAAGGGAACTTGCTGCATAACCTGGGATTTCCCTTCTTCAGATTTAGATCGACTCTTAATCTTCTTGTCCGAAGACTTCTCATTTGGAGGACCTTAAGGTAAAACACAGAAAATTAGGTTTTATGTTTATGTAAAATGTATTTTATATTTGTATTGGATATTTTAACCCACAGGGTATTCCCATGTTACCTTTTGTAGCACTGAGACGGGGTGTGGTGGGTGGACATGACTTGTTTTGGGGGGTTGCTTTTCCCTCTGGTGAATTAACTGGGCCAATATTCATAAGATGAGGTGGTCCAGAAACAGACTGCTGACCTTTGCTAAAATCAAATTTTCTTTTTGTTGGAGTCTTTGAAAAAAAAAAAAAAGAAAAAACAATGAGAAGAACAATGCAAGAATAGCAATGAGATAAACCATATAAAGCAGGGGTATCAAACTCATTGTGGTTCAGGAGCCACATACAATCTAATGAGATGTCAAGCTGAACAGACATTATATAACATAACATTACATAACATAATTACCTATAAATAACAGAAAGTCTGTCTTTTCTACCTTTGATTTCACACAATAAAGCACATTAGATACATCTATATATTTAGTGAATATATAACTTTAGAAAATATTTCCTGAACACAAAGTGTTTGTGTGTTTTGTTTATTTTTTAAAATTCATTGAATGGGCCGCTTTTGGCCCACGGGCCGTATGTGAATCCCCAGATATAAAGGTAGTGCCAAGAGTCATATGAAAACTCTAGGAAGGAGCCAACAGATGTGCTAAGGCTACTTACAGTATATCCCAAGCAAATAGCAAATGCAGACCAACCTGAGGCAGAGGCTAATTTTCCCATACAATCAGTTGCCCAAAAGGGAATACGGTTACAACTTCAACACACAAACAGCGGAACATCTCTTGTGCTTATTTCTAATTATTTTAAGTACCTGTGTTGGTGTAGAAGTGATGTGTGAGGGAGCTTGGCTTAAAGAGTGAGAGGTGCCACTGGACTGCAGGGCAGCAGCAGCATACGTCAATTTCGTATTTTGAGGGGAAACTAAGGTGCAACTCAAAAGACAATGAATTAGAGAAAAAGCATTATGATAAAACATCAAACTTAAGGTAAATTCAGATTTTATTTCTACCTTAAAAAGGTAAAAAAAAAAAAAAACCTACTCATCAACTCATGTACATGGACTTACCCTTGAGTGAAGTACCCATTGTTGTTGAACTGTCACGACCTGAGAAGAGACTGCCTGGGTGCAGACTAGTTGATATAGATGGAGGCTCGTCTTTTATTTTGAACTGACCCAGCCTGGTCAGTTTCTGACAGAAAAGAGAGTCAAAACCACAGCCATGACATGAGGGGACCAACTGAAAACATTTTTCTGTCTAAAAACACACTCATAATAAACACTGTGTGCTTCTTATAAAGAATTAAGAATTAATTACCAATCATAAACTATCCATCTATGGTTACCCTTATATATAGTATATATACACACAACTAAAGCTCTGCAATACTTACTGGAGAGGATGTTGGAGGTGGATCATTTTTATCGGGAGGTGAATGAAACTTGACAAATGCCAGTCCGTACAAGATATTCTGAAAAAGTGCATTCATCCTTAATTGAGTTTTGACTTGCGGTAAATATGCTTTTTACGATTGTTTCATTCCAAAGTACCCAATTCTGACAATTCTACACAAACTACTACTAGACATGTACTATACACAGCCATGCACACTAGGGCTGGGCAATTTAACACATTATTAGCATGTTCAGGGATGCAGGGTAACGGTGGCTAGATGCTTATGGAAGCGGACTTGGATCCGGATGGTTTCAGGTTCAAGTCCATTTAATTTGCTCAATTATTAACGCTAAGAATTATTTTAACATGCATTAACCAATTTATTCAAATATTTATAAGATTATTATAAATGTCTGTTGCTTATCGGCTTTCATTTTGTAAATCTGTTGCCTACTGCTGCGGCACTCGGAAAAGAAGACCTTTTGCAAAACCCTGCCTGCAAACCTGTCATTGTCCAATCATATATCCCAGCAACCATGTAAACAACATCCTTCAAACTGGACCTCAAGCAAAATGGTGAGGCGATGTGCCTAAATTATTCGACAGATCTTAAGAAATAATTGTTTATTTTAATTTTAGATTAACATGTACAGTATGTATGTTACAGTTTATGTAACACATAACATAAATAATAAATAATAATGTAATAATGTAAACACACAAATACATGCATATATATATATATATATATATATATATATATATATATATATATAAATAAAATATATATACACATATATATATATATATACA